CCACCAGAAAACTGGAAGTGGCACTGTGACTCAAGTGGTAGAGTGCTCGCCTTGAGCTGAAGAGCGCAGGGACATAGCCCAATCCCAGAGTTCAAGCCCCACAACCGACCAAAAAAAAAAAAAAAAGTGATGGTGGTTTTGAGTATCAAACATCTCTTAGAATTAATTTTTGAAATGAGTCTGTATATGAGCTGAATGAAATTGTTCATATATGATAGTGGTTTATATTAGTTCTGCATTTAAGAAAATGTTGCAAAGAAATAATTTCTGTTTCTCATTTTTTATTCCTATAATATAGTACATGTTATGTGTGTAGAAGGGGCATGTAATATGATACTTGGTTTTAAGGAGTTTCTTAGAAATAAAATTATGAACGGAGGCTTACATGAAGTGGTAGCACCCCTGCCTTGACACATTTAGGCAAGCCCAGTGACAACCATAGAATATGTATAGTGAATTGCTTTTAAACTAGCAATGTTGATGATCATGTATCTAAGCTGTACACAAATTTCTTGTTTTATTTCTTTATGTGATGATTTTATGTATTAATTTTACCACTTCTCTAAAGATTGCCTTGTTGATTCTTTTAATTAGAATGGGACAATTTAATACATTGTCCTCTCCTTTGTCTCTCAAGAATCTCTATAAATTCACCTTTTATGTTTTTTGGTTGGTCATGGGGCTTGAACTCTTGGCCTGGGCACTCTCCCACAGCTTTTCAGCTCAAGGTAAGCGCTTTACCACTTGAGCCACAGCACAACTTCTGGTTTTCTGAGTAAGCCACCAACTCCCAGCACCTCTAATTTTTTAAATAGTAAAGTAAATTTTACTGATCTCGTTCCTCTAGTTTCTGTGACCTTTCTAAGCTTTTCTCCTTTACATAGTTGGCCTCCTGCCCCTGTGCCATCCCCTCTGCTTACAGTCCTCAATGTCTCCAACTCTGACCATCTATCCTACTCTCACTTCTCTATTAAATTCCCTAGTGGATTGAATCTTCCCTTATATTGAATTTTGAAGTAATATGGGCAAAAAGATGTAGGTTAAGTTGGAAAGTCCCAAACATCTCGTAAGTAGTCAAGAGAGGGAGTTGCAACATGGGAAACACCTTGGGGAAAACTTAAGATGGAGATATCATTGAAGAGAAAACCTTCTACTGAAGCAATGGAGCACAGGTAAACAGAAGGTAAATGGGACCTAGTAAGAAGTTATTTGAGTAATTCATAGAATCAGGAAACTAATTTTTTTTTAAATAGTGCCATTGGACATGTCTAGAAAGTAGAAGCTTTGAACTAGAAGTTTGAGAAACTTACAGCAATAACATATAGGCACAATGTCAGGCTCAGTTAGATATGTAGAGAGTAGAAAGGTTAATCTGAGAAATACTTAAGAAGGGATTTTGTTACAGCTTGGTAAGGGGAGAAGAGTGAGCAGGTTCCAGATGATTCTTAGATTTCATACAAGGTGTTAGCACTTTTCATAAGCCGATTGAGTCAAACAAAGGCTTTTTTATATAAAATGTTCTATTTTTTAAATGTGTATAAAATGCCCAGCAATGCCCACTTAAGCAAAACCTGTGCTTAACTCTGTTGGCAATAAGGAGGGCCTTCTTTTATGAGATGGAATGGATGTCTAATATAGTATATAGTATAACAGAAGGAAGTATAAATTGACATTTTCTTTTTTCCTTTCTTCCTTTTTATGGTGCTGGGTATCAAACCAGAGCCTTGAATAATATACTAGGCAAGTTTTCTACCACTGAGTTACATCCTTAGCTCCAAAAAGACATTTGTAAGAAAGGCTTCAGAGGGAGTGGGGGGAGGGAGAGGGGCAGGACAAAGTGGTTTTTGTTTTTTTTAAAGTAACAGTAGCTGGGCGCTGGTGGCTCATGCCTGTAATCCTAGCTACTCAGGATGCTGAGATCTAAGGATTGCCAGCTCAGCTTGGGCAAGAAAGTTCGTGAAACTCTTATCTCCAATAAACTACCAGAAAACCGGAAATGGCGCTATAGCTCAAGTGGTAGAGTGCTAGCCTTGAGCTGAAGAGCTGAGGGACAGCGCCCAGGCCCAGAGTTCAAGCCCAACGACTGACAAAAAAGAAAAGAAAAGAAAATATGACATGAAGGGCAGAAATGCTATATGGAAGAATAATGTACATTACTTCATTAAGCTATTAATGTATTAGCTTTTGCTAATGTGGGATAAAGTGGAGATGTTGTGTTTTAAACAATTTTTAATGTAACTAGCATGTACTTGTACCCTCTCTTTTAAAAGTGAATAGTTTAAGCTGGGTGCCTGGCTCATGGCTGTAATCCTAGCTACTCAGGAGGCTGAGATCTGAGGATCATGGTTCAAAGCCAGACCAGGCAGGAAACTCCATGAGACTCTTC